GGGCGTTGCGAGTTGCATTAGTCCAGGGTAAAGTGTGAATAGGAAAAAGAAAGTATATATTTATTATGTTGTTCGACTTCTCCGCCTTGCCCTCGTTGACTGCCTGGCTCCTGTCAACCGGAGTCACCCGGTTGTTGTAAACAGAGATTTGATCAACGTAGCCAGCGAAACAATGCTTGGCGTGGAGACTGGTGAATGCGGTTGCTCTCAAGTAAAGGCGCAGCCCTCCTGGTCAGTCTTGACAACCTGCTTCAAATCAGACCCGAGCAGGCCTGCGCGCTCGATCCATGCCTTTATAATTTTCGGTAATTTTCACCGTGTCAGCACTGACACCCGCAGATTGTCATGGACAACCGGGACACACCCCGCGCATCACCTACATCAAGAACGGCGGCCGGTGGCCTCTGCTCGCGGCTGAGCACGAAGAGGGTGCTGAAATTGTTGGACTGCACGATTGCAACGTCCCCGGTATAGTCTAATTAATGGAGTAAGCCTCGTTGCATCGACTGCAGGCGGACAGGAGGGGTTCCTTCCCAAGGACAACGCACCTTGAACGATGTAGTTGGGGCCGTGGCAGGAGGGGCCAGGCTGTCCAGGGAACTGCACGCGGAAGACACCAGCGGCCCCGTAGGACGGATGCGCCGGCGCGGCGCTCCCGAGGATGTTGACGGGCGCTCCCTGGGCCTCGCATGTGTTGTTCACCTGCACTGTTCCGTTATCCTGTGTGTTTTGAATCCGGGCGGGTTTCATAGTTAGCCAAGACGTAACCACCTTCCGCGAAATCCCAGCCCATTTCCCCGTTGAGGAGTGTCCTTGTGTGCATCCACTAACATTGAGCTGGTACTCGGCAAAAATGCACTTGCACCCGGCCGTGAAGGGTGCTATCGTCCCTGCAACCTGATACCAGCGGCCCAGGTACGAGTCTAGCTCGAAGCCAATGTCTGCGGCCGGGTAGAAGCACTCACCGTCCCAGGTTGACGGCACCGCGGAGCTGGCGAGCACGCCCGATAGCAGGAAAGTGGCGAGGGATGGCCTCATTGTGGCTGGCGTGTGTCTGGGGGCTCTAAAAAAAGACGGGAGAAACACAATTGTTCATAGAGGTCATCCATGCACGTTTGCAAAAGCTGCCATATTCCTGTGTTTGCTAGGTCCAAGTCATCGTTTTCCCTCGATTTAAATATTCCATTCGAACATCATTCTAGACCGCTCGTCGGCAGAGAGTCATCATCATGATGCAAATGCTCCAAACCTTGTGGTCCTAAGTCCCCAAGACAAATTAGTGGTTGGTGACGCCATCGATATCCAGGAACCTTGCTCTTTCGGGAAAGCAGCTCGCGTCGCGATCTCGAGACAGCCGCATTGGCGCGCCCTGGATCGGCACATCGGGCAAAGATAGGGTAGATCACATCTTGCTTCGGGCCAATCCGTCAAGCTGCTTTCAATCGCCCGATTTCAACACTTGGCTGGCTGGATTTCTCCCTTGCGGCGGATGTTCTATTTTGCTGCGCGCGCGCGCGCGACGGATTGAAATGATCTGGCGCTGGATAGTGCATTTTATTTTGTACAAATAATCCTCGTCGCTCCTTCTCGCCAGATTAATGCCATTATTTCCCTATCGACCCCCTGTTTTCTCTGCGTCGAACCAAACACTCAAAGCATATGGGCTGCGGCAAATACGGCAGCATAGACGAGAGCAGCCATCCCGGCATTAGGCAAAAAGTCTGCGGCGCCGGCTGGGACGGGCGGGGAAGAAGGCCGGGACTGTGGTTCGAACAACGTTAGCTTGTGCGTTTTTCACCCAGTAGAGGATTCGTTGGGCAAAAAAGGGAGGGGGTTGCATTCCGACATACAGTGGAAGTGGCGGCGGCGGTGGATGAGTTTCCTCCAGAGCTGGATGAGGTAGATCTGACGCTCCCCGACGGTGCTGGGGGGCGGGTTGAAGTGGCCGGGGCGGTGGTGGGCGCGGGAGTCGAGGACTGCGCCGAGCCGGCAGGGCCGACGGCGGGGATAGCGGGCGGGACCGGGTCCTGTTTGCCCGAGGCCGGGGTAGTGGAGAGGCCGCAGCCGCGCCCGAAGGCTTCGAGGCCCCTCCCGTACATAGACCAGATGTTGACATTTTCCGGGCCGGCGCACTTGAGGCAGTTCCCGTAGTTTGTCTTGAACACGTCGTTGGAGCAGCGCGCGTCGCCGCTGAAGCGGCCTTGGCGGAGTGCCTGGCCTTGTTCACGGGAGATGCAATGTTAGCTACCCGAGTCAAAAATGGCACGGACATGTACGACGAAGACAGGGGCGCTCTCGAGGGCCGCCGCAGCGAACTCACCGCAGGTGTCGTGACAGTTATATGCCGGGCTCCCGGGCTCCTGTCGCTTCAGGAGGCGAGACGCCATCTCGAGAGGGTCCTCGATGGTAACAGCCGAGACACTAGCAGCAGCCAGGACGGCACCAACGAAAAAGCGCATGGAGACCATCTTGGCTTGTTGATGTACTGCTGTAGGCGGAGAGAGAGAATCGCCGAAGAAATACACTCGAGCACGGGCAGACTGTATTGAATACGACTCAAGCGAGTGTAGAGGAGGAGGCAACCCGTGGCTTGAAGAATAGTGAATGGAAACAAGAAAGTGGCTGCCGTGCCTTATGTAGGAAGCCAAGACAGCATAGTAGGAGCAAACCGGGAAATGCGGACCTCGATTGCTCAACTGGACTCGATTCTCCCTTACCGGGAAGCTGTAAGCGCCTACATCCCGATAGGTTCTGAGGAATCAGGTACATGAACGGCCCCGAACTATGCAGCCCCACTAGGTCTACATCGTATGTGGAATGCATGGCCGGGATGGTGGCATGAACGAAAAGGGGATGGCGGGAAGGGTGTATGGAAGCGGATTCCTGTAGTGGTGCGCTCACCGGATCAATAGGGTTGGAGAAGCGTAGCGAGGGGTAAAGGCCGAGGAGATGGGCATCAGCTCGCAGCAGAGTCAGATGTTGGCCCGAGTTGGCCAGTAAATGCGTTTACCTTGGTGGCCAGGGGTGCGGCCGAACATCGGAGGCCATTTTTCTTGGTGACATCCGTTAATGCCGAACACGAGAAAGAGAAAACATGGAAGGGTTGGTCTTGGGAGAACTTGGCGAAAATCGCGATGGTACATCCCCACTCAGATTTAATCATATGATCTGATAAGATTAGATGAGTTGATTTGACGATCACCGTGGATTAAGTGGACTCTATCCACGCTTCCGCTTCTGACCATTCTAGATTGGGCATAGCACCATTAGATAAACCAGGATGGCCCACGATGGACCATCGACGAGAGCCAGTTTTCCCAGCCAGACCGGTGCCCCTCCTGTACGGCGACCGAGCACTTAAATGGGGTGGCATTGCTCCAGCTTCCTGTCCCAAGGTAGGGTTTAACCGTGTAATGCCAATCCTTCGGCCACCCACACGGCCCTGCTCGAAGCCGTGTCCCAGTGGCCAGCTAGCCAGGTTTTTGCATTTGAGAATATTTGCCGTGATCCAGCTTGCGGTATTTCTCGGAAGCTGGGATAGGACTCCCTATCGAGCCGGCTCTCATGCACACGCGGGTGGTAACTTTAATCCCAATAAGAGTGAAAGTGAGGGGCCGCTCCTTTACATCGCGGGACGAGCTGCAGTCAGAGCCACGACCAGAAGGCTGACGCTGTTGAGTATACACGGCCTACCTACCTGATGGCAGGCTACCCAGGTCGCTTCGTAGAGTGTTGCTCGTCGTCTCGGAGCGAATGGATCACAAAAATTGATGCTCACCACGCCGCACTGAGTCGACGTATCTTTGCAACGACATCGGGACAACTAGTCCACACACCTAGCTTGGCTCCGCTCGCGCCCTCAACTTCTCCCGCCCCTGCTTAAATGGTCGCACTTGGCAACTGCGGGATCTGGGATGTTGGCGAGTCACAGCTGGCCACCACCCTCCAGTTCGTCCGTCCGCGGCTGCCGAAAGCAAAGATAACTGGCCCGGATTCCATGATCAGCAAAGTGGTACCACCCTGATGAATCTTCTAGGCACCATACGCGCCAGCGCTGCCTCTAGCCCTCCTTGGAGGAGTGTGGGCAGCCAATTCTCGCCGGGGGAAGACGGAGACTGGGCAGAACCCGCAGCTGATATCGACACTGGCCACCGCACCCTTTCTTTTTCACGCCGTAGCACTGGGGAGGGGAATCTATGCGAGCCCAGTCAGATCATTGGTAGATACCAGCGCACCAGACAGTCAAAGCTCCGCAACGACCTCCATCAGCAGCCCTCCATCCTCTGGGCAACCATCCCACCTATCGCTTGACCTTCCTGATTCATCGCAGAAGGGATGCTTCTAGCTTTGCATGCTCGGCAGTATCCAGGCGGGAGAGGCTTTAGTCTGGTTTTCCCACCCGTGGGCTGCCTTCGGCAATATATAAACGTCGTGAGGTGCGCCCCCATGTCTTATGGGCATTTCGTGCACCTCACGTCCAGGACCCCGCCTTTTTAATCTCTAGGGAGCCCGGTTGAATCTGTTCTGCCATCTCGAGCGCCGAAATTTCCACTTTCACTCTTGGATCAACAAACATCGGCGTATTTCCAAGACTGTCAAGATGCAGTCCAAAATCTCAGTTGCTCTTCTCGCCGCAGGCCTCGCCGTTGCTGCCGACAGCAAGACGCAGGGCCACGGGGTTGGTGCTCTGGGAACCGAGATGGGCCCGGTCGCCTTCCTCTGGCCCGCTGACCGCCCCTGGTCGGCCGACGCCGACAACACTGCCCCCTGTGGTAGTGTGCATGGTGTCACCAACCGGACCCCCTTTCCCCTTAGTAAGTATACGTCGTCTCTGTCACGCTCTGATAACACCAAAAGGCTGACAATATTTTTTTCCTTCAGCTGCGGGCGCCGTATCGCTGTCCGTCGCAACACAGGCCTACGATGTTGACTTCTCGCTGTCCTTCTCTAATGGTGAGTATTATCTGCCCGATCTCTGGTACACCATACATCATAACACTAACATGGCCGCGGCCTTGAACAGACCCCAAATCCAACAGCGACTTCACCCAGCAGGCCGTCTCACACACCATTGGTAGGGTCGAGGCCGGCCACCAGTGCTACAGGCTCGCGGCGGTTCCCTCAACGGTAAAGGCTGGCGACAACGCCACTATCCAGCTAGAGTATCGCTCCAAGTTCAAGACGGAGAACGACGGGAGGGACCAAACGTTCTACGCATGTGCCGACATCGTAAGTCTTGTCTACATCTACTTATCTTCCTGTCCGATCCATAACCCCACAGATTTCCTTCCACGTCTCTACCCAGCTAGTCCCGAGGACGTGAGATTAGTATGGCATGTCAGCTAACATAGTGTTGCGTCCACTCTAGCAATTCGTGGATACCACCGCCTTCAAGTCCAACATCCCCTGCTTCAACGTCACATCGGAGGAGTTCGTCCCTCCCCAAGGCAGCTCACCCAACCCTTCTACGACCGAAAACGCCTCCGCCGGCGGCCTTTCCACGGGCGCCATCGCGGGCATCGCCGTAGGAACCATCGTGGGCTCGCTCGCAGTCGTCGGTCTCGTCGCCTTCCTTGTATTTAAGAAGCGCCGCGGCAGCAACAACGCCCCCGCCAACGTCGAGGCCGGCATGAAGGTCAACCCCGAGGTGGCCTCGGTCAACTCCATCTCCCGCCGCTGAGCCTGGTCGCTGAGCCTGGGCCGTTGCTTTCCCCGTTATCGGCGTGGAGTGATTTGGCTGACTGGGTTGGTCGGAAGGAACTGCCTTTTTATGGCGTCGCTTGATGAACAAGCTTGTATTTGGTTACAGGCTGGAAGCAGACGGAATGGAAAGCTCGTGACATGAAACGTGTCGACTCGAAGGAGTGATAGGTCCGTTGTGCAAGAAGTGATACACGTCCATCCCATAAATGGAAATGTCGAAAGCTCAACAAGGGATTGGAGGTAGCTGCCCGCTTGTACAGGGAGTTTTTGAGGCCAGCCACGACGTGGTGGGTCAGCGTACGCTGTACCGTTGACCAAGGTCATTGGCGATATTGCTTCATACAAGCCGTGTAGCCCCAGGGTCTGTCTCGTCGCTTCCGTCTTTCGCCTTGTTGCCTGGTTGCCCAGCTTCAACACCTCCATCGGCTAGCGCGGGGTCGTGAGGGTATCTTAAGACGTAACCTTATCAAAAGCTTACATGGCTCTGGGCGATCGCTTGTAAGCCAGACGCCCCGTCTTGTGACGGATGTCTACCATCAAGGAGTGTAAGTACCTACCATCTACCCAAGTGGAGGCAAGATGCGGGATATTCCGTTCTGCTTACTTCCTGGGGCGGGGAACAAGACAAGCCTACTGCACCGAAAGGCAGGAATGCTGCAGCTGCCGGGCGAGCGGATTCGCTGGCCCGACAGATATGGCTAGTAGCAAACCTGCAGTCTGCTGGGCGTTGTCCGGTATGTGTGCCCAAATCTGCATGTTATGGGTCGGCGCAATGGAGGAGCCGAAAATGAACTGCTGTTAGCAAACGAAAGGCTGGTAGGCAGAGATAGGTCGAGAGGTGGGATACTGCAGCCTGTCGGAAGTGTGGCGCACTAGTGGAAGCGGCGGTCGTGGGCGTGAAGGCGCAAGGTTTCGGTAGAAAAATAGTGATGCGGATTACTGCTACAGGAAATTCCTGCATCAGCGTGGTCACAAGGACGCTGTCCAGTTTCTGACCATCGCCTACCAGGGAAGGCCTACCGCGACGGACCGGCCTCGAATGCCCACGCCCGTCGTTGCTTTCCCGGGGGTAGGGCGGCCGGATAACTGACAGCGGGAAATGGCTGGGCCTAGACCTCTTGGGGCGGCGAGGGGGAAACTGAGGAACCAATAAGCTGACCATTTCGCCGAGCGTTAGTGTCTATCCTCAGCTCCTTCCCCACGAATCACTTTGAAGAGTGCCGCCAGCTTCGACATAGTGAGCCAACACATGCAGCTTCCTCAGCCTTCACGCGGCGAGCTAACAAATGCAGCCACTTCGGCTCTCAGCTTCGACGCAGCGGGCCAACACATGCAAGCCTCTTCAGCCCCAGCTTAGCGTGGGGTCTGATTTTGTCTAGATTGATGTTCGGGTGCAAGTTCACGACTTGGTACAACGTCCGTGTATGGCGTTCGTTATCCTAGTTTGGAGCTGGGCAGGCTTGCAGGACAGGCGCGGAGGTGCTGGGGCACAGCCCTGAGAAGAAGGGTTTGCCCACTGCCACCGAGCCAAAAAAAAAAAAACAAGAAGATATTCTGGACGAGAGGACTCGGCGCGAGCTTATTCGCAAGCGTTTAAACGCAAGAGGGCCAAAAACGGCAAGGTTGCCAAAATCTAAACTATATTTATCACTCTAGGCCGGCGCGTCTGCTATTGTGTAATAGGTCACACACAGTCGCCTCTGTCTTCCATGCGACTCTTAGCTCGAGCAATTCTTGTTGCCAAGTGCGTCCTGCCGATGTGAGAAGCATAAAAGCGATGCGAATCCCCAGTCTCGTTTCATCCATGCTGCTGTGGACTCCAAGCCACTGCCCACAGCTTCACGACAGCATCGACCTAGCGAGACTGACCGGCCCATATCTGACCCTCAGACTCTTGCCCTCGCGTTACCTATACTAGGTCCACCCGCCATGGCAGGTAAGAGACACCCTTATCTACCATCCGCGACCACGCACTTACCACCCGCCCAGGCATCGGCGTCCTCCCGGCCGCCCATCTGGCGGCCCTGGGTGATGATGCATCTGTCTCGATGGGTTGGATCGAGATGGTCATGCCCAAGGACGACCAGGGCGAGGCTGTTTCCAATGCGTACGCCATGCGCGTCGTCGAGGAGCCGGCCAACAAGTTTGTCCGCATGATCAAGGAGCCGCTCAACTTGATCAGCGTCATGGGCCCTGCGCGCTCAGGCAAGAGCACCCTGATGAATTTGCTTGCTGGCTGCACCACCACCGAGCTCTTCGCGACGTACCCGGGCATGGAGACCTTCACCAAGGGTGTCTACGTCCCGACCCGGGTCGTGACCCTGCCGCAGTTCTCGTCGCTCGAAGGCGAGCCCGTCGTCGAGGCTGCCAACTCGGCCATCAAGGTGTCCTTCGTCGACACCGAGGGCCAGGGGGCGGTGGGCGACGTTTATGACATGAACCTGTTCAGCCCGGCCCTCGTAACCTCGCGGGTCGTTATCTACAACCGCACCGGTGGCCTGCTGACCGAGGAGATCCTCGGCCAGCTCGGCATGATGACGCAGGCGGCCAAGCGGCTGCAGACGGCCGACGCCGCCGCCGCTGCCAAGGGTCCCATCTTCGGCCATCTCTTCATCATCTTCAATCAGTTCCGCCTGAACGTCAACGACACGGCCGACTCGCTACGCGACAAGCTCATGGCCGAGGAGAAGAACCCGGACGCGGTGGGCACCACCCGCAACAATATCCGCAAGCTGCTGGCGTCAACCTTCGAGTCGATCAAAGTCTGCATCTTGCCTGACCGGCTCAAGTCGGACGCCCGCGACGCGCTGTCGGACGGCACCAAGAAGTTCCTGCTGCTGTCTGACTTTGAGCCAAAGTACCTCGAGTACTTCAAGGTGCTGCGCAACGCACTATCCCGGGCGCTCGTGACTCCGAGGGAGCTGACCAAGGGCACCCCGCTGACGGGCGGCGCCATCGCCGATTTCATGCCTTCGTTTGCCGACGCCATCAACAAGCAGGAACCGCTCAACCTGCCATCCATCTTCGAGGCCGCCCAGAACGAGGCCGTCAACAAGGCTCAAGTCGAGTTCACCAACAGCCTCACTGCCAGCGTCGCCAGTCGCCTCCAGGACGAGGCCAAACCGACGCAGATGCTCTCGTCCTTCTTCGACACTGATGTGTCCATCCTACTGACCCAGCTGGCCAAGACGCTCTCGTACATGCCTCCCGACGTCATCCAGAAGGCGCAGGGGCAGGCTTCGCAGTCCGCCGAGCCCACGCGCAAGAACCTGCTAGACACAAACCTTAGCCGTGTCCGGGCCCTTCTGGCCAGCGCCCTCACAGCCGCCATCAAGAGCATCCCCGCCCAGATCCAAGCTGCGTTCCCGGCGGATAACGTGCGTGCTTCTCCGACCGACATCGACAGCCGCCTCGGCGCCATCTCCACCAAGCTGGCCGCCGAGCTCAAGGCGAAGGGCGACACTTTCGACCCCAGCTGCCTCCCAGACAAATACGCCGACGCCATCCGGCAGGCCGTCGACATCCAGCGGACCTCCATCAACGAGCGGGCCGGCACTGCCTGGGCCGTTTGGGCCGCCGACGTCAACAAGAGCCTGATGACGACGCTGCTTGGGGGGCTGGCCGGGCTGACGACGACCACAAAGGTCGGCGAGTCCAAGGTCTACACCAAAAAGGCCGCCGCGCTCGTCGACACGGCCAAGGCCGACTTCACGAGGCGGCTCGACGCCGAGTACGCGTGGGCCGACCGGGACGCCCAGAAGCTGCAGTTCACGGCGGCCGCCGAGGCCGCGGCCAAGATGCAGCAGGCTCTGTGGGAGGCCAACGACGACGAGGTCCGCGGTGCGCTGGCGGCCCTCGCCTCGCGGCTGCAGGCCAGCTACCAGATCCAGCTGCAGGACTCGCTCCAACCAAAGATCGAGCCGCCGTCTTACAGCGCCATCACAGACCCCTCGCCGATTAGGGTGCGTTCAGATTACTCCCTTCTCCCACATATGCCGTATGGTTTGCTTTTACTGACTCTGCCGGCGACAGGCCCGTCTTGCCGAGTTCTGCACCACCAACAAGGTCAGCGATACGGTCACCTCGGACGCACTATTCCAGTTCGACTCGTTCGTATCTGGCAAGAAGGCCGACTTCAACAATGTGTACTCCAAGGCGTGCAGCGACTACTCGAACGATCTCGACAAGGCGCTCAGCATGCAGGTCCCGCTCGTCATTGACGTCTATAACCGCGGGCTTGACAGCATCGATCTCGAGCTCACCTCGGCCTCCACCACCAGGGCGTCCATCGAGACCAAGTGCAACGCGGTCGGCACCGAGGCGGCCAACTCGTTCAAGGTCGTCATCAGCGGCTACAACACGATCCCCGGCGGCGCCGTCTCCAAGCCCATCGTCGACACGCGCACCCTCCAGCTGACAAACAGTCTCGCCGAGGGCAAGGCTGCCAAGCTGTCAAAGTACGACGAGGTCGTGTCCGTGTGGAACAAGGCGCTGCTTACGAGCATCGTCGTGCCCATCGTCGACAGCGCGCTGGCCAACAAGTTCGCCAACGAGGTGGCCCTCGCGCGCGAGGTGGACGCGCGCGAGGCCGACTACATGAACCGCAAGCGCGGCGACGGCGACGACGCGCGGCAGAAGTGGAAAATCTTCAAGACGACCACGTACCTCGCCCTCGTCGAGACGGTCCGCCGGTTCGACGCCTACAACATCCCCGGGCTCGAGGCCAACCTCGCCGCCACCAAGGAGATCCAGGAGAAGGTCATATCGCGCATCACGGCCCCCTGCGCCACCATCGCCAGCTGCCTCGGCATGTCGTGGATCGGCGGCGGCTACGACTTTTACGGCGGCAACCCCTCGGCCCTGCTGCCGCCGCAGGACCTCGGCCTGCCGCAGGCGGACCCGCAAAAGGGGCAGCCGGGCCAGAACATGCGCATGTTCCGCATGAACAACCAGGGCGAGCCGCCTTCGGACGGCTACCGCCGCGACGAGCGCACCAACCTCGAGTTCTACGAGTGGGCCGTCGAGATCTCGGACATCATCTGGGGCAAGCCGATCGTGACCGACATCAAGCCCGTCAAGGTCGACACGACCGAGTACGGCGCGCAGTCGACGCCCCTCGAGGTCACCGTCGGCACCGTTAGCACCGAGACGTCGACCATCACCGACTCACAGACGTGGGGCATCAGCGCGGGCGTCGAGGTTGGCTACAAGTCGGGCGTTAAGGACGTGTGGGAGGCCAACGTCAAAGGCACCTTCAACGCAAAGTTCGACTCGACGCACTCGTCGCAGGTCGCGACCACCTTCACCACCAGCACCAGCGCCAAGCTCGTGCTGCCCCCCAACCGCATCAGCTGCATCAACCAGCTCATCTTCAACCAGCGCACCTCGCTGTCCTACACGGCAAAGGTCCGGGTGGTCCCGCGGCTGCGCTTCCAGAACGGCTTCACCGCCTGGGGCGGGGGAGGGAACTACCGCGACAACCCAAACACCAACGCGCGCAAGTCGGGCATGGGCGCGGGGGAGCGCAGGACGGACAGGCTCGACTTTCGCCGGTGCGACGAGATCCGCGAGGACGCGCGGGCAAACGCCGACCCCTGGGAGTGGCAGCTGTGCATGGAGCGCAACCCGGATCTCACGTCGGCGCTAGATACCCTTGCCAGTGGGACGCCGTTCGAGGTCTACGTCAAGGGCAAGTGGGAGGGCATCACGGGCAAGTACGCCGTCACAACGGTCACGCCCAAGTCGACGACCCTGACGCTGCTGCCTATGGATATGTGAGGTGGGTGATGAGGTGGGTGAGAGGCATGTTTGCGGCGGCGGTTGCGGGTTGTGCGGGTTCTGGACGACTCCTTTCCTGTGTTATTGTAACTCGAAGGTACAGGTACTGGCGCGAATAAGGGTTAGGTGCAAGCTTTACAACGCACGTTGTTGTAGCAGCGAGTTGTACCGGCATTTTTGTTGTGGACTGGACTATGAAACGTTGGAAGTGCCGAAAAATAGGTGGTTTTATTTCGCCATTTAAACCGTTAGGCGATAGTCTGGCCTAGCGACGAATTCCAAAGCGTCGATAAGCTGCGCTGGATAAACTTAGGCGAACCAGCCTCGTCGCTTCCGTCTGACGCCTTGTTGCCTGGGGGCCCAGCTTCGACCCCTCCATCAGCTAGGGCGGGGTGCGCAACCTGCTTGACGATCGTGTCGAATTGAATATTTATTCTGAACGCGTTGACCCCTTCTACCACTTGCCACCCCTCTCTCTCTCGCCCTGTTGGCATTCCGAGCCTTCGCCATCGTCTTCAGCATGGAGTGTATCATGCGCGACCGCACCCTCTTCAACGAGCGGCTAGCTGAAGGGCTACCGGCTACTGCTTCGGATGGCAGCAGCAACAATCGACAGTTCACAGTCTTCCCCGCGTTGCCCGTCGAGCTCAGGCTGAAGATATGGCAGATTTCCATCCGGGAGCTCCAACATCGCATCATTTATGTCAAGCTGAGGCCAGGGCGTGAACCGTCGGTGATGATGACGATCCCGCCTGGCGAGGCCCCAGAAGGCACCCACGGTTCCGCCGCAGACATTGCCAACGGCAGCGATAACGACCATGTCATAGAGGACGCCCATCAGAGATTCGACGCTGGGCTCGAATCCATTGAGCGCCGTCGACGGCTGGCGTGGTCGGCCGTCTTCCCCACCATCCTTCGGGTCAATCGCGAATCCCGGAGCGCTTACTTTTCCGTCTTCCGAATCCCTATGCCTTTCGGGGCCGGCGGCGACGACGCTCGGAAGCTTGTCGTTAACCTGAGCCCAGACCGCGACATTCTGGACGTGGGCATTTCCGTTCCAGACCCGGATATTGCCGACCCGGATAACCCGCGGGTCAGGGCACGCCTCTTCGTTGGCTTCCTCTGCTCCCTTCGCGCGAGGGATCCCAGAAAAGAGGGCATCAGACGCCTTTCACTAGGCGCGCAGGTGTTTAGCACCCAGACCGACGATACATGCATCACAGTGGACGACCTTCTGGACCATATATCCCCCTCCGTCGCCGACGAGAGCTGGGAGAGGGGAGCTACCGTCTTTGCCCAGGTCATCGAGAATCTGGTGTCGTTCTTCCGCGTCGCCAATCTCGGTCACATTGGACGTTGCAACCCCGGACCCCCGATCTTTCCCAACTCCAAGGCCCATTTTGCTCTGTCCGTCCCGTTGGCGCCGGGCCGGCGGCACAACAACCTCGTAGCGTGCACTGCATGCGTCAGCCACAGGTACCTCCCGTCCACCCCCGACGTCGCCACCTTCACCTGGCTCGACAACGATCCACGCCCCCATGTCGCCGTGGACACGCAGCAGCTGCCCTCGAACGAGTGCCCGCACCAGGTGTTTCGGGCCTGGACGGAGTTGGAAGAGCGCTTCGGCGTTAAGCGGGCAAGCTCCTCGTTCGACCTCTACCTCGCTGCCGCCGAGGACCACAACAACTCCTTCGATAACGAATCGGCACGGCGTCACCTCAAGAATGAGTGGGGGTCGTGGCAGCAGTGGTCCGATACCCTTCAGGAAGAGTACGGCCAATGGGTGACCGAGATGGGAGATCTCATGAGCGAGGAGCAGGAAGTGGCTGTCAAGGACGAAGCCCAGCCGGCTGTTGGGTTGTGGCTTTGGCCAAGCGAAGCGCTCAGCAGGTTGAGTGCAGAAAATCCGTGCGGTGAGCACGATGCCGGCGAGTTGGCAGTGCACGATCTGTCCGGATCCACTCCGGGGCTTCTGGTGGCGCATCTGGCATGAGGAAGGTGGCGGCGGGGGAAGATATAGAAGGTTCGCAGGATGTATCGGTATGGCAAATAAAAGTCAAGTCGTTATGGCAACTAGTTAGAGAAGGCAAGCAAGAGATTGGGTTTGAACGAAGCCGGTGTTTGGACTGTGTTTCACTTCAGATGACTTGGCGGTGATTAGGTCAGGGCCGGAGCTGGGCGATGTCTTGACTTCACTAAGGCGTCGAAACCACAGAGATTTCCTCATGCAAGGCCATCGCCACTAAGACCGGGTTAAGATGACAAGGAGATGGATGAAGCGTGTTGCCAACCAGGCTTTTATCGGCCCTTATATCAAAAGGGCAGCCGGGACGGATAAAGCCTGAGAGCGGTGACGTCTGTTTGCTACCGGCTGCAAGGTCTAGGCGCTATGGGGCTCAGAATAAGGGGGAAAGGGTGCATTGGACTCCTGGCATCCGTCCGAATGTCAGCCCTCGGGGCGGTACAGACGTGTGGGAACAACAGCATGAAGCCCTACTGTCCGGCCAAGATATCGGTCGCCACGCTCTTGACCAGCCCCTTCATCTCGGCCTCGCCGTACTCCTTCAGCCCCAGGACCTTGTTCCACGACCGGTCCTCGTACCCAGGCTTGTTGGACCCGGTCCACGCGGCGAAGTTGACGTGGCCCATGAACACCCAGGGCTCGAGCACGCCCTCGGCCAGCGCCCCGTCCGACTTTGCCTTCATGGGCGCCGTGTCCACCTCGGTCACCGTCCAGCCCTCGGCGCCGCCGCCGGTGGCGTCCTGGAGCGCGGCGACAAAGTCGCGCTGCCGGATGCTGCCGTCGTGCACGTACACGTGCTCGTTCCTCGTCTCGTCGGGGTGTCTCAGCACCGCGACCACGGCCTCGGCCACGGTCGACAGGCGCGCGAAGCTGACGCGGTGCGAGCCGCCGTCGTACACGTCCGCCGTCTTGGCGGTCAGGTTCCCGGTGTGGCCGATGCGCAGGCACCAGTCCAAAAACAGGTTGCAGTACACAAACGTGTAGCTCGTCGCGCCGTCGTTTTTGGTCGCCTCGGCCGCCAAAAATTCCTCGGCGGCCACCTGGTCCGCAAAGGTCCCGCAGGCTCGCACCGCGGGCTGCCGCAGGTCGCAGCCGAACTCGGACGGCAGCACCCGCCGCACGCCCGCGGCGACGGCGGCGGGGAGGAGCGTGGCGACCTGCCAGGCAATGGCCGTGGCGCCGACGGTGCTGACGAGCGCGTCGTGGCCGCGGAGCGCGTCGGTCAGGGCGGGCTGGGACGCGAGGTCGACGGTGGTCTCGGCGAATTTGCCGGCCAGGTCGGCGGGGAGCTTGCCGGGGCTGCGCACGAGGGCCGTGACCTCGAAACCGGCGCCTACCAGCTCCCGGAGGACCACGGCGCCGAGGCTCCCGGAGGCCTGGGGGGTTGGTGGTAGGTGGGTCAGTTGGATGCTTAGGGAAGGGGGGTTCTGCTGGATGCTACAACTTACGCCGACGATTGCGACTCGCTTATACGCGGCCATGTTGCGGGTGTTGTGCTGTTGCTAGGAGAGCAAGGAGTGAGCGAGTTGGGCGACAATGACGGGCACAAGGGAGGCTCAAGTCGTCGAGACGTGTGATTGCAGGCCAGCCGCTTTCTGTGTGAGATAGGAGATAGGTCGCCAGGACGAGTAGCTGATAGTCGATGAAGGGAACGCATGCAATCCAGTCTGATTCACATCTGAGAGGCCACTCATTATATACTCGTGCAGGCTAAAAGCGCCCGCAATTCGACGCTTTTTTTGTGACATTTTTCCCCAGCCAAATTAGCTGGGAATCAATGTATCGCTAAAAAAGGTAATGGGCCGCTCACTTACTTTTTTGCATGGTGCACAGGGGAGTTACAAGTTTGGCTGTGCACCGTGCCTACAGGAGTTTGGCTAACTATTACCTTTTTCAGCGATACATTGATTTCCAGATAATTTGTCACGAAAAAAGCGTCGAATTGCCCCACCGCACTTTACTCCGGAGGACCGTTAAAGTGCGGGCGCTTTTCGCCCGCACGAGTATGTCTAGTCGGGCATGTTTCCCGGATTGCGCCTTGGGACAACTGCCGGCTGGATCTCCGGGGCTTGGCGACGTCCCCCTAGCGAAACGGTCAAGTTTAATGCAGCTCGGGGGAGTTCAAGGGGGGATGCTGGTGAAACAACGATACCAAGCTAGCCCAGTCATGCGCGGCGGCGCGCCTATGGTGAGCCCTCGGTGTTGCAGCCTGGCCGGGTCGATTATCAAGGGCTACCACACGTCGACATTCTCCCATTGTGCATGTTCCCGGCCAGCTCCCTTACTAGTTGGAGCTACCCAGCCCGGGCGAGCTGTGTTAATCCGCAAGGAAGGCCTCTATAGTTAGTCAAGGCGGAACGTTGCGATACACGGCTGACTTCACATGAGATCCCCGTCGGGTCACAGACCAGTACTGTATTGCCTCGAAAGGGAGATGATTACGCCATTATTCCACATTGGGACCGGCATCCTGCCAAGCTACTATCCATATTCCATTTCACCTCCGCCCCCTTCTTCCCCATTCTCGTCTTTTTTATCGCCCTTTTTCCTTTTCCAACCTTGCCCAAATTCCTTTTCGTTCAATCCCGCCCCATTCACCTTGCCACTTTATAGTTTTTTTTCTTTTTGCGTCAGCCTCGGGGCCCCACCTCAAGCAATATGCGAAGCCAACAGGGCAGCGGCGACCGCCAACGTCAACTATCCAGCAGGTGTGGTGCACATATAACGCCCGTTCCTGTAATCCGCGCCAAGCTCGGTTGAGACTTGGGTAGTTGGGGTCGGCGATTGCTAGTGCCGCGTTGGCTTGACCTGTTGATTGAGGTGGGAGCCTAAGGTTGGGGCTGGAAAAAACGCGAAAAGGGAAAAAGAAAAAGCGAAAAGAGAAAAGAAAAAGACGAAAATGGGGCAAGGCGAAGTTGGAGTGTTTACGTGCGCTCGCGAGGTTCAAAAAGGTACGATAGAAGCACTGCCCGTTTTGTATTATGGAAAGCAAGCTGTGGCATTACTTTCCAGCTCGTCTTCGCGACCACGCCGACAAGAGCCGCTTGGGCTGTGAATGCCAAAGCGACCTGCGTGACACCGCTGCCGGCTCCGAGCTGGACTTGCTGTAGTCGCAGGTCGGGCAGTGGGTCATGCGGTTCGGGGTGGCCGGGTAGGCGTCCTTGCCGTACGTAGCGTTAAGGGAGACGGACCCGACCACGTTTCCCGTCTCGAGGCGGATCCACGTGTCCACCTCGCGCGCCCTTAGCATCTCGCGCGTGACCAGGACCTGCCGGCCGCCCCGGACCCAGTTCCCGTAGCCGCCGTAGCCCGTGTGCTGGCCGAAGCAGAGGTTGAGCCCGTTGCCCTCGACCGTCATGCCGGGCACGAGCCGGTCCCACTTGTGGCACCACGTGTTGCCGTGGTCGTGGCCCGAGAAGAGGGCCACCAGCCCGGGGGTGTCGACGAGCGCCTGCATGAACGGCACGTCCTGGCCCCCGTAGTCGCAGCCGGCCCGGTCCCTGCCGTCCGGGCACCAGCCCTGGGCCTGCGGCCCGAGCGGGCAGTCGTCGTTGATGCCCGGCTGCCGGTTGGGGTCGACCGAGGAGGATGAGGAGCCGTTGCGGCCGTGCTCCGTCTGCAGCGCCAGCGATGCGGCGACGGGGATGTGCACAAAGGCCAGGCTGGGCACGACGGCGCCGCCGAAGCTGCGCGCCAGCTGGCGGCTCGTGCGCCGGAACCACGACACGGCGCTCGGGTGCACCCAGTTCTCGTGCCCGAGCCGCTCGCCCGACGTCTCGTTGAGTTTCTGGAAGAGGAAGCCGCCGCGACTGTCGAAGAACCAGAGGACGAGCTCGGGGACGCAGCGGCGGCCGGGGCGGCCGGGCGGGACGTATGAGTGGTTGCTCGTCAGCGCCGCGTCGCAGTCGGCGCCGTAGACTGGCAGGTAGTAGTTGGTCGTCCCGGCGCGCGGGTCTCGGACCATGTCGGTGGTCATGGCGCCCGGGAAGCGCCGTTCTCGCGCCAATATGGAGCCCCCCGAAAGGTTGTACTGATAGTCGTGGTTGCCATAGGTCGAGGCCCAAGGCAGGCCGCGGCGGACCATAGGGGCGACGATGCGGTCCACGTACGCGCTCCCGTTGTGGAGAAACGCGTTGTCACCCGTGATCAGGTCGCCGTTGAGGACAACGAGGTCGGATGGCTCAGCGTCCAACACTTTGTCCATGACCTTGAGCGTGTTGGCATCTTGCTGCGGGCCCCATTGATCCCACGCATCTTGAGAGAGGAGAGAGGGTAGTGTTAGTGGTAGGCCGTAGAAATACGAAGACACAGGGGCAAGGGCCACTTACTCTCTCCAAAGTGCAGATCATTGAAAATGGAGATCTGGAATGTGCCGTCCTCTTTGAACTTCAAGGGTGTTAGATTGGTTACATTCCAGAGCGGCCTCGGGACTGCAGCTTGTGACGTGCCAAAGAGGAAGGGCACGGCCGCGAGAAGAGAGAAGCGCATCGTATAAGGCCCAACACAGCTCCAAGCTCTGATCCTGGAGGCGACCAGTTCGTACCACCTACGACGACATTGGACGACGCATCCCGCCCCTTTCTATACCACCACATCATAAACCCCAGCCTCTGGCCGCGATGGCAGCTGGGCCCCGAATGCCTCGGAACAGCTGGGAGTGGGCAGTCCGCATTCCAGCAAGAGGCCATGGATGGACTCGCTTGCTTGCACCTACATACCTGGAGCGAGTCGGGGCCTCGGCCGCCCAGTGGTGGGCTAACCAATGGGATCTGGGACAGGCCCAAGAGATGGCGGATGAGGCCAGGCAACATTGCAACCGTGGCAGCCCATGGGAGAGCTTAGGGAGGGGGATTGGCGGGCTCCCTTGCAGCCATAGCCAGGAATCAATTGATTCACCCGGCGAAGGGACATGTGTTTAGCCTTGTCGGCGCCTCGCGGCAGTGAATGCTACGGCATGGCAGCGTGTGCGTGTGCGTGTCTCGCTAGAGGCGCACGCGTCTGGCGGTGGGTGGGAGAAGGTTTCTGCGTTTGTTGGGTTGTGTTAAAGTTGTGGCGGTCACTTCAGCATGGCCTCGGCTAGAACGTGACGACAGCGGCCAACGCCACTGGCTGGCGCTGGAAGGATCTGTGCCAGTGCTAGATTGGGCCAAACGACCATCAAAGCTGCAATGTCGGCACACTGCAACCCTCGCGCAGTTTCTACCGGAGCTTGTGGGCAGGATAACAATGGAATATACGATGAGATGAACCTATTTGATTGGTGCTTTTGGGTCATCCCGGACGCTCATGATCGGATGAATCGCACACGGGTGGTCTGACGATGCCCTTAGACCGCGCTTTGACGATGTGCAGCCCACTCCGACTCCAACACGCGGCTCCAGAAACCGGGACTTCTCCATCTTCTTGCAGATAGATCTCTACCCACGGCCCGTTTGCCAAATATAGATATCGTTGGCACAGCCCTACGCGGTATTTTTCATAGCCTCTGCTAGCCCCAACCTTTAAACTCACCGCGCTCGTTGTCGGGAGGGACCGAAACTCAGCGAACCCGGTTTCAAGATTCCGTAGTTAGGATATGGAGATAGCCATGTCTTGCGTTCTGCCGATCTAAGTCGCGTGGCAAGAAGCCAGTCATCCAGCCATTCAAAGCATCCAAATCGTGGCCATGTTCCTGCTAAAGCGAACCCGATGTTCTGGTTCGCTCGTCTTGCTTCACTGTCTCTTGGTATTTGGTTGGTTTGCGTCATCGCTGTCTTCCACTTCGTCCATTCCAGACGGCAAGGGGAGGAAGCCAAAGCTCTTCAGGTTCCGGCCGTATAGGGATCTATAAATTGGGTATGCTCCGTCAAGGCGGCATCTTTCACCTTGTGGTTTTGCTTTTATACTTGGTAAACCTTTCCAAGACAAAGGACAACTCTCAAACTTCACAGACATGCGTTTGGTAACCGCCATTATCACACTGGCAGCGACTGTCTTCGCAGCACCGCTCGCAGCCAATGACGAGCTGGCCGCCGCCCTAGCAGCACTGCAGCAGAATAATCCCAAAGACGCCAGCGCCGCCATAGGGGCTCTTCCAGGACAGGTCTCGGCCCGCCAGAGTGGCGATGAGCTTGCCGCCGCCCTGGCGGCTCTGCAACAGAACAACCCCGATGATGCCGATGCCGCCAAGGGGATCCTCGAGGGACGGGTGGCCCCGCGCCAGAACGACGACCTCGCCGCCGCACTGGCGGCCCTGCAGCAGAACAACTCCGGCGACGCCGCTGCGGCCGTGGTAGCCGGCGTAGGCCGGAGGTAGGATCCTATACAGCTGACAACTGGCACAGCCCTTGGTCGGGAGGAGTGAAGGGGAAGGGGGTCAAGGGATGAGAACTCGGTTCAATCTTGCTGCGATTAAACCGTCCACCATTCATGTAAATAGGTATCGTGCTGCTGAAGGGAATATCACAGTCCTTTCCCCAAAAGCAGCGACCTGGCGGATCGTCGTCTCTGTATTCGATGCACGTGTGAGCAACTTGGGGTTAGGGTCTATGTACCCCTAGGCAGGCACGCAGGCAACATCGCATTAGCTCATCAAACCACATGCATCCAATCTGGCGCCCTTAGCGCCGGCATCCGGGTACTCGGCTCCACTTGATCGCCGCCCTTTCGTTATTCTTGAGCTTCTGTTTTCTAGATAACGAGGCTCATCGTACTACCTTCACCACAAGATCTGCGCAGAAGTCGAGTTCTGCTGCTCTTGCAGAGCCCAGCCAGAGTGCCATGTTCTGTTCATTTTCTGCGTCTCAGAATCCGGGGTGGCAGTATTACTGCGTCACCAAGGCGCGGTGCCGGTTGTGTCAGTTCCCCTTTGAGGATGGGGAGCACACGGTCGCTGGTCAGTCCCTGCATGCTTCTGGCCGCGATGGGGTCGGGCTAACATGGTCGCCGCCACTTTCGCTGATCTCGAACACGTCTGCGCAGACCTCGGCACCGGGGCCATGTCGCCATGGTTCGAATTCCACAACGAGGAGAGATGCTCCGACCACAAACGGCGTATAACAATCCACATGACACGCGCCGATGACTGTTCGCGTAATGTTGTGGAGGGCGGACGAGTTTCCAATAGGAGTACGCCGGCTGCTCCCTTCCACGCCCAATGCTTTAACCGCCGGACCAGCGACGCCAGCGAGCGCTTCCTTGCCGCGACCGCATACTGGCCAGCTCCGTCGCCGGCAGAGGAGCGGCGCCGGTCAAGCCGCATACAGAGGCTCTTGGCTGCACGGCTGGCTCAACTCATATCTCCTTCGGATGGGTTCCATGCATTACACCTTCCCGGGGAAGTCTGGATGATGGTTGCCGGCCTCCTCGTGCGCCAATGCGCAGCGCTCGATGCTCAGATCCGCGTTGAGCGCCAGCCAAAGGTGGAAGACTCGCAAGCCAGCTTGGGCCACGCCGTCTATGCCTCATACATCAAGTTTGAAGGCCGCCATTATATCAAGACTCTCTACAACCAACCCGAGGATGCGGATGGCGTGCAAATCGGGAGCTACGTCCCTGGGAAGCACTTTCTCGTGGTCCCCAAATACGGCAATTTGGCTGGTTCGTCGAGATCGCTTCTTGTCGAGAAAAGCAGCGAGCATCAAACGAAATCGGTTGGGTGCACCGAGAATGAAGAGAAAGAGGCCAGGAGCACAGACCGGGGAGGAGTTTGGATGGCCTACGACCATCTCGGCGTTCGGCAGATATTCTATGTTCCACCCGACAAGAAAGATGCCTGGAACTCCAGGTTCCCCAAGGTTGAGTATTGTTCGTGGAGATACATCCCACTTGGAACCGATGGATTGGATGGTAGCACCCTCTCCGCCGCAAGTGACGTAAGTCGTTTACCTGTCTGCCGTGATTCCGAGCTCGAAGAAATTTAGGGCAACGCTCCAACACGACAGTGTCATAGGGAACGAAAGCGCGCAACATCACCAGGAGTTGGGACTGCATCAGGCCAGGATCAGCACCACGTCACAAATCAGGACTTGGAGGAGCGAGTCCTGCCATGTCCGGGTTTAAAACGATTCTCCTCAGGTCCTCCAATGAAGGGCCCTTGGTTCACTGGCCGCAGCCATTATTTCCGTTGCCTACCGTAAGGGTGCTGGTAACAAGGAAGGGCAACGGCCCCCCGGATAACGGGGTACTAGATATACGGCTCATGCGCTCAGTTAACTGCAACGTTCCTGGCACCGTCGGCTACTGCGCGGCAATCTCCCCGGCTGACATGGCCCCCGTGCTCATAATTCCACACACAGAGAACACCTCGCACGACCAGTGGGAGTTATGCAACCAACTGACCTCAATGGCATGTCAATGGATTTACTTTCCGCTATCCCCAGGCGAGCGTATCACGGACGTGTGGGGGAATGCCCATCCGTCTTTCGCACCGGATAGGCTTGTGGTGAGCCAGCCTCCATTTTCATACTTCCTACCATATTTCGACTGAACCGACCATTCCCATTCATTTTATGTCGCCCATCTGACCAGCGTGGTAAGGTAAATACAATACACAGCTCTTGACAAACCATCAGAGGTCATTTTGGTTTGGCTCGTTTTGGACAGGTGCTCAAACGCAGGCGTGGGATCGCATCGCCCAACTGCCGAGTGATGGTCCGGGACATTTCTTCCTTCAGCAACCCCACACGATGTCGTTCAAGCCGGTCGGCCGAGGCGCTAATCGGACCGGCATCGCACCTGGCAACAGGCTGGTGGCCGCCGGGCCAGCTACCACTGATTCCGGTCTCGCCGACAACAACCCACCGCCTACGCCGACCCTGCGCATGCTTCCTCCCACTAACGAAGTCAGTGTACGGTGGTTCTATGGCGCCTGCTCCTTTGAGCGGACCGCCGAGGTACATGTGTGTTTTGAAAGGATGCACCTCCGACGCGGCGCGCCCAGCCCCGGAAAGGACGATACCAAAGACAACGGCGCGAGCCGCAAGGAGACCCCTCCCGCGGTGGCGGGCCTGCTGGTCGTCAGCCTCACGGGCGGCCGCCAGAGTGTCGGGCGTTTCCGTCCGGACATGGTCGGGAGGGTCGCCCGGGTGGGGGAAACGGACCGGCTCTGTTTCTACCGCAGCCTGGGCGGGGTTGGACGCGAACCCTATCTGACAGACGTCTCAGCCAGGCCGGCGGCCGGCCCGGATGAGGTGTGCGAGCTTGTAGTCGACCAGACCGGCGGGGTACTGGAGTGGTGGTTCAGCGACAGCAGGAATCGCCTGATCTACAAAGGGATCACGGTGGATTGTGGTCGTGGTTTTATTTCAAGTAATTGATGGCCTTGTTCGCGGTCCGTCATGTCCCTTCGCTGTCGTCTCCGTTGTCGTATTTACAAATTCGTATGTAGACAGCAGGGAAGCCGCCAAACGAGGTAGGTCCGTATTGAAAACGGTAGTTTATAAGGAGAACTACTTCTAAAGGTGCATTGACGCCTGTAAATACAGGGAATCGGTATTTATGGAAACAAACAAGCATGGTTGGGACTACGACAGCCAGAGAACGTCCTTCATTCTGTTGCACGGATTTGACGGCTATGCGCCCACGCCCACCACAAAAAGAGGGCAGTTTAAAGATCCCAAAGGTTGGGGGAAGTTGTTAGTAAGTGCCGTAAGCTTCCTATTCCTATTTTTCTTCCTATTGTTATTTATTTCACTATTCATATTTTTATTTCTTTATTTGTTCTTGTTTTTATACCTGTTCCTCTTCCTTCCTAATCCTAAAAGAAACTGCCATCTTTTTTGTAGTGGGCGTGGCGCCCTGCCCGCAACCCCAGACCGAGCCGGTCGCTGCACCGAGAATCAAATGATCAATTCCCGTGACGTGTCTACGGCACATCCGTACTGGGGGAACGCAGCGCATTCGGAGCGGGGGTTGCCCGCACCAGGCTGGGGTGGAGAGAAGAGCGACTCGAGGACATGGCGTCGGAGGGCCAGCGTGGGGGCCACAGTATGGGGAACAGTGCTGGTGTTTTCTGCTGTTCCTATGACCTCGGAAAACCGCACGATGAGGGGTAAAATAGGGGAGCCCCTCCCGATTCGGGATTGGGGGTCCTGCCCTAGGGGGGGGCAGGCCCTGTGCGCGGTGGGAATGTGGTCAATTCAATGGAGCACCGCCCGCACAGCTGCTTCCAGCCCTCCGGGGAGCCGCCGGTAACCCGTTGTTTCTAGGTCTATGCGGGGATGGTGTTGGAGTGTCACGGTCATGGTCCAGGATGTGTTGTGTTGTTTTAGGGGATGGCGTTTAAGTAACGCCGTTCTCGCCGGGTCATTGGCGGCTTCACAGTATGACCAGTGCCACCAGCTAATGGAGCCTGAGTCCGACTCCATCTACTCAACTAGAACTGCGCTCCTTGCCTGCTAGTCTGTCCGTGTTTCTGGAATACCCCAAGCCCGACCCAGGCCAGCCCGACCTCACCATGCCCGCCATCAAGACAGTCGAGTACTTCCGCGTCAAGCCGAGATGGCTAATGGTCAAGATCACGGACGAGGAGGGAGAATACGGATGGGGTGAGGCCACGCTCGAGGGCCATGACCTGGCAGTAGAGGGCACACTGCAGGAGATGATTCCGAGGTTAATCGGGATGGAGGCCAAGTACGTTTCGCCATGCAAGGTGTTTAGTTTCCCACAAGACCAAGCGTGGTGTATAGCTGACAAAAGCCAACCTTATCTGCCTGCAGCGAGATCGAGAACATCTGGCAAAAGTTCTGGAGGCATGGATTCTACCGCGGCGGGCCCGTCTTCATGTCGGCGCTGTCCGGTGTCGACATTGCGCTGTGGGACTTGAAGGGTAAGCACCGTGACTTGTGACATGCCGTCTAGGTCGCGGCTTCGTTCCCTAACCATGACTGACACACCCGTCGCCGCGCAGGACGCAGGCTCAAGGTCCCCATCTACGAGCTGCTGGGCGGCAAGGTGCGCAACAAGGTGCAGGTGTACTGCTGGATCGGCGGCGACCGCCCCTCGGACGTCGAGGCGGCGGCCAAGGTGCGGCTGGCACAGGGGCTCAAGTGCGTCAAGATGAACGCGACCGAGGACGCGGGCTGGGTCGACTCGCCCGCGGCGCTGGACGCGACGGTGGAGCGGCTGCGGGCCGTCAAGGCGCTCGGGCTCGACGCCGGGCTCGACTTCCACGGGCGCCTGCACAAGCCCATGGCCAAGCAGCTCGCGCGCGCCCTCGAGCCGCTCCGCCCGCTCTTCATCGAGGAGCCGCTCCTCAGCGAGCACCCCGAGGCCATCAAGCAGCTCGCGGGCCAGACGGTGTGCCCCATCGCGCTGGGCGAGCGCCTGTACACGCGCTGGGACGTCAAGCGCTTCCTCGAGGACGCGTCGGTCGACATCCTGCAGCCCGACATCGCCCACGCGGGCGGGATATCCGAGACGCGCCGCATCGCGCAGATGGCCGAGGCCTACGACGTCGCCATCGCGCCGCACTGCCCGCTGGGGCCCGTGGCGTTTGCGGCCTGCATGCAGGTGTCGCTGGCCACGCCCAACTTTGCCATACTCGAGATGAGCCTGGGCATGCACTACAACACCGAGTCCGGCGACGGCGTCGACCTGCTGACGTACCTGAAGAAGCCCGAGGTTTTTGACATCGCCGACGGCTACGTCGCGGCCCCGACGGGCTACGGGCTGGGCATCGAGATCGACGAGGAGGTGGTGCGCAGGATCGCGGCCGACACGGCGCCGTGGCAGTGCAAGGAGTTCCGCGGGCCGGACGGGTCGATTCGGGAGTGGTAGGGTGAGTGCCGTCGACTGGGCAATTGGGCGACTGGGCGACTGGGTGACTTGGCGACTGGGCAGCGGTGCGCGATATCTTCGCCTGCATTCATTGCCTTACCTGTGACCACACCATATAAGTGTCCTTCCAACTGTTGCAGTCATCGAATTCGGACTACAAGAAGGCAACTTGTGGTGCAGTGGTTGTGTTCGGGGTACTCATACCACGCGGACTGCTGTGCTCTTTGGAGCTCGGGTTCGATCCCCCGTGGGGGCGCCATAAGTCGAAGAAAACCAATTTTAACGGTTTCGTACCTGTCCACCCTCAAAAGGCTGGGCAACAATCTTTTTGCTTTTTGCACTGCTGCTACCTAGTATTTTTTTTGCCGCTCCATACTCGTTGAAAAACGGCATGGCTGCCTAACAGCGAGAGGTAACTATAAAAAATAGGCAGAGCACGCGTAGTAGTAAATGATAGGGAAGAACCCTTAGTAGGTAGAAATATCTCGTTTGGTTACGGTATTTTATCCAACTCCCAAACGCCGCACTTCTTTCTTCTTGCAACACTTGTTTTTCTTTTCACCCTAACACGATAGCTAAATTTGCCACACACAAAACTCACTCCCTTAAACCTCAATAACTACCTTTAGGACCAAATCCCCATTCTCATCGACCGGCTTGCCGGCCGTGGCAAAGGCGTCGGGCGCGCTCTCGAACCCCTTGAAGCGCTGCGTAACCAGCTTCGAGATGTCAGGCAGGCCGTTCTCGCCCCGCTTGCTCAACAGGTCGATGCCGTTCTGGTACGTGTTCGCGTAGCGGAACACGCCCACCAGGTCCACCTCGCGCAGCGCGGCCGCGCCCAGCGGCACCGTCTGCACGGGGCTGCCCATGCCGATGAGCATAACCCTGCCCCCCGGCGCGGCCGCGTAGATGGCGGCCTGCACGCACGGCTCCACCCCCGTGCACTCGAAGACGGTGTCGAACTCGCCGCCCTCGCCCAGCCCGCCCTCCTTGGCCAGCAGCGCCGCCGTCTCGCGCGCCAGCGCCAGCCTGTCCGCCGCCGTGGCGTCGGGCGCCGGCCGCTTGCCGGGGACGACGACGGCCTTGTCGGCGAAACCGTTGGCGACGGCGAACTCGACGCGCGCGGCCACCAGGTCCGCGACCACGATGGAGCCCGCGCCCTCGACGCGCAGCATGGCGGCCGTCAGCAGGCCGACGGCGCCGGCGCCCAGCACGAGCGCGCGGGAGCCCCTCGCGACCCCGGCGCGGCGGACCCCGTGCATGGCGACCGACAGCGGCTCCAGCAGGGCGCCCTCGGCGAGGGAGGCGCCGTCGGGCAGGCGGTAGCACCAGCGGGCCGGGTGATTGACGCGCTCCTGGAGGGTGCCCTGGAAGTGCGGCAGGGTCTTGGCCGAGCTGCGGAAGCGCATGGCCTTGCAGAGGTTGTAGCGGCCGGACGCGCACAGGGCGCAGTCGCCGCAGGGGACGCCGACCTCGAGGGCCACGCGGTCGCCGGGCGAGAACCCCTCGACGCCCGCGCCCACGGCCTCGACGACGCCGGCGGACTCGTGGCCGAGCGAGAGCGGCTCGCGCACGTGGAAGTCGCCGTTGGCGAAGTGGTGGAAGTAGTGCATGTCGGATCCGCAGATGCCCGTCGCCCGCACCGAGACCTGCAGCTCGCCCGGGCCGGGAGCCGGGATTGTGCGTGTCTCCTGTTTTGGGGGTGGTGGTGGTGGTGGTGGTGTTTCGGGGGATTTTTGGCCTGCGTCAGTCTTGGGGTTGCAGGGCGACGCTTGTGGGCAGCGCCGGCCATGTCGCAATCATGATGCAGAACCAAAGATTGGAGCTCGGCTTACAACGCGCAAGTCCTTTGGCCCGTGGAGGACCGATGCCTTGATGGTTTCGACCGGAGCGCCTGCCATTTTTTCTTGTATTTTTTCTTGTACCTCCTGTTTCTTCGCTCTCGCTCTCCCCGACTGGATGATTCGACGGCGTCTTTTTGGATGGCGATAACAATAGGGACTGCGAGGCTTGGAACCACAAGACTGGTCTGGTCAATCTTGGTCTTGTTTTTCTTTTCGCTGCCGCTTTTTTCTCACTCGCTTGTCTTCTCCCCGAGGTTGTTGACGTTACCAGGCCAGGCGATCCACCACCTCGCCCCCCTCCTCTCGAATCCGAATCGGCCACACGATCGCACAAGACTTACCGATAGTGGGATGCCCCGCGCTAGGAAGCCCCAGCCCAGGTTGCGGGTCTCGATATCCACTCCCCGGAATCAAAGTCTCGGCTCCGATCGAAAAAGTATGCCGGGGATGGCGTCGTTTGTGACGGGCAGCTGCAGAGGTTGTGACTCGTCCAAGCCGTTACTGGTACAACGGCCATCTGCCAAATCACATCCGCGCTGGGTACACGGTACGCCCACCAATGTGAGGCAGATAGTTGAGGTTTGTGTTTTTATCTTTTTTCTGCTTGCTCCTATTTACGTCTCTATCGCCCCATCCACCCACCGTCAACGGTCAACAACTCCCCAGACACGTAAAGACTCCCCCTACCCGCCAGGAACACGGTGGCGCCCTTGAAATCATCCGCGTTGCCCCACCGTCCAGCCGGGATGCGGGCCAGAATGCTCGCCGCGCGCGCCTCGTCGTTGAGCAGCGCCTCGTTCATGTCCGTCGCCACGTAGCCCGGCGCGATGGCATTGACGTTGACGCCCTTGCTCGCCCACTCGTTGCTCAGCGCCTTGGTCAGCTGCGCGATGCCGCCTTTGGCCGCCGCGTACGCCGGCACGGTGATGCCGCCCTGGAACGACATGAGCGAGGCCACGTTGATGACGCTGCCGCGGTGGCCCGTGGTCCGGTCCGCGGGGCGGCCGAGCATGTAGGCCCCAAAGTCCCGGTCCAGCGTCCACACCGTCTTGAGGTTCACCTGCAGCACCTCGTCCCAGTCCGACATGGGGAAGACGTGCGCCGGGTGCCGCCGCTGGATGCCGGCGCACGTCACGAGGATGGACACGTCGTGCCCGTCGCCCAGCACGCGGCCCGCGAGCTTCTCGACTGCTTCCTGAGATGACAGGTCGCATGTGTAGACGGAGGCCTTGCGGCCGAGCGCCTCGACCTGCTTCTTGGTCTCAAGGTCTGACTCGTCTCGCTGGTAGGGGAGTTGAGGTCAGTGTTAGGCCCCTTCCCGGAAGAGGATGGGTAAGCTCGGCAGACGCACCTGGATCAAAATGATGTCGGCGCCGGCCTCGGCGAGGGCGACAGCCATGGCCTGGCCGATGCCGCGTGTGCCGCCAGTGACGACGGCTACGCGGCCATCCAGGGCAAACAACTTTTCAAGAAATGGGTTCGGCATGATTCACTGAGTGATTTTGCTTCGCCTGGTTTGATGTCGCCCTGACATGGATCGGATTCACATTGGCGCGTAGGAAAAAAAAAAACCTTGTCCGATAGCCTCCCGGCAGACGGCTCGGCTTCTGTCGGTGCCTGCAGAAACGGGTCGCATCCGCACTGTAAGCTACGGGCGAGTGAGGCCCAGGATTCTTACGGCGGCCCCCCACGCTTTCGGCTGTGTAACCCCTTGCCCGCGGTTAATGCTCTGCGATATCGCAGCACCTAGTGGTCCCACCCCGCCAATCCTCCTGGTCTTGGGCCTGCCCCGCGCCCCACCAAGCAAACCTCAACCGTGGATTTGGGCTCTCAGCCTGGGCTAAATTAATTCGAAGCAAGACTTACGCGTTCCTTGATGATGTCTAACGTAAAAATGAATAATGGGCTGTTTTGTTTTTATTTTCTTTCGCCCTTGTTGTTCATTTGCCCCTAACCCACATTTTTCAAGTAGTAACTCTCGGCATACGCAGAAAAGCCATGTCGGCCGTCGTGCGACTGGGCAGAAGATCGGAGTATTAGAATAATGCTTCCTTCGGAAAACCCTGCCGCAGTGCATCAGTGGTTGACGGGCAGGCCCTGAGACCTTGCATTTTTCCGGTCCTACCATTTTGTTAGCCAGCCGCTCACTCATTCGCTGTCAGATGCCGCTTTCGCCGCCGGAAAAGGCATCGGAACAAGACTGCTGCTCCACATATCCGTTGGCCGTGCACACTTGTTGCCTCCTTTGCCTACCGACGTGGGGGCAGCCCCCAGTCCGCTTATACACAAGGAGTAACCAAGGTCAGGGAACTTGACCCCCACCGAGTCCCCTCAGCTCAACGCCCGGCTATCCACGCATCTCCCTCAAAAATCGATATTCCGTGCTCGCCCTGCCGTCGTTCGGGCGAATTACACCCAATAGGAAAAATCAGCCACGTAAAATGTTGGAGGTTCGGTCTGCAGGCCAAGTCAGCCATATTGTGTCTGCCTGCAGCGGCGCGGTCAGCCAATGGGTGTTACCACCGACAGCAAAATAAGACATTTTCGAGGGAGGAGGAGATGTCATTTTTACAAATTGTTTCGGGTTTTGCATCAGTCCACAAATCGGGTTCTCGGGAGCTTGACGCTTACCTTGGACAAAAATTGCCTTCACTGGCATCCTTGTCTGTGATGTGGCCATGAAAGCCGCGCGTCCACACCGCCTGCCCTTGGAGAGGGTAGGCTACCCTGTACGCCCGTAGCCGAGCGCGATGGTAACACGGGTTTTGGGTGTTGGAGGGACTAATAGGGACAGAGAACGGGAGCCGTAGAGTAGGTTGGTAAGGGACCAGCGGTTGTGCAGTGCGTAGCCAAACCCGATGAGTGTTTGGTGCTGTGCCCGGCCAGAATCGATGCCCGTAGCCTGCTTTGGTCCACGGCAGCCAGCGTCTTGGGGTCTTGTCAAGCTATCTTCTGCATGGTTCGATTTCTGGGAGCGATCGGACCAGCCATCCGGTCAACACATGTGTTCGACTGCGCGCATGCGAGGCGATAAGAAGGAAAGTCCAGAGGAACATGACAAGTGTTGCACAAGGCCGGGCACCATTCCTACGCTCGCGTGCCCGGGGTTGACCGATGGGTGCGGTGCCAAGGCTGGTGTATTGCGTTACCGTGCCGCTTTGCCGGGGGACCAAGCTCGGCTCAGACCGCACCCGTCAAAGAACAGTATCGCTAGCCATTCTGAAGCTGGTGTAAATCGGTCGGAGAGCGGAATCATTGGGTACTTGGCCATAAACGCATGCGTATTACTAGGCCAAGGATGAATGTCATACTTCAGGTCTAGAGCTTGTGGAAATCATTGAGAATGTTTTTTTTTTGTTTGCTAGGTAACCAAGTGTTCCAAATACGAGCACATGTACCGCCCCGCTATGCCTTGCCGGTCTGCTGTGCCTCGAGTTCCCGCTCGCACCGCACCAGCTCGGCGAAGCCGTCCTCCATCTTGGCGAGCGCCTCGCCCTCGGGGAGCGCGCACGGGCGGCGGGGCGGGCCGCCGTAGCCGCTGTACTTTTGCAGGGCGACCTTTACGCTGACGAAGCCGCCCTGGATGGCGACCCAGTCGCCCCTGGCCACGACGGCCTGCAGGGCGCGGGCCTCGTCGTGGCGGCCCTGGTCCCACAGCCTCATGAGCCGCACGCACGCGAGCGGCGCCACGTTTGCGGTGCCGCCGATGATGCCGTGGCCCCCAACCGCCAGCGTCTGCAGCGTGAAGTCGACGCTGCCGCCGAAGGTCTGGAAGCCCGGCCGCGCGCCGGCCGCGATGCGGGCCAGCTTGCCCGTGTTGCCGCACGTGAGCTTGACGCCCGCGACGTTGGGGTGCTCCGCCATGGCTAGGACCGCGTCGCTGCTCAGGTCGAGCCCCGCGCACGCGCCGGGGAAGTTGTAGACCACGACGGGCAGCGGGGAGGCGTCGGCCACGGCGCGGAAGTGGGCGACGATGTGCGCCGTCGTCATCAGCGAGCCGTAGTAGGCCGGCGGCAGCACGATCACGTAGTCGCCGCCCGACTCGGCCGCGTCGCGGCAGAGCTGGATGGCCTCGCGAGTGCTCTGGGCGCCGCAGCCGACGATGAGGGGCGCCGACGTCCGGCCGGCGGCGTCGAGGGCGTCACGGGTGGCGCGGCTGATGAGCTTGCGCTCGTCCCGGTCCAGGTGCACGGCCTCGCCGTTGGACCCCTGCACCACGATGCCGGCGACGCCCGTCTTGGCGAGGCGCGTGGCGTGCGCCCGCGTCGTGTCCAGGTCGACCGTCTCGTCGTCGTTGAAGAAGGCCACCGTGGGCACGTAGATGCCGCGCGTCAGCGGCCGGGCGCTACCATCGCTGGCCCCGTCCGTGCCGTTGTGGTGGGCGGCGCCGTTGCCGTTGCTTTCGCATACAGCTGAAGGAGACATTATGGATGTGCTTGTATCCTTGATGGATGGGGAGGGTAAAGAGGTACGGGTGTCTGTGACTGTCAGGCCATAAGGTGCTGGACTTGGGTGAATGTGTCGTCAATGGGGTTTTGCTTGGTGGTAGGTGGAAAGTTACCAGATTCAAGGGGTGAGCAAATGGCCTTTTGTTGGCGGAAATTATAGATAGATGGGGGTCGGTGATGGATGAAAATAACAACGTGGGGTTTCAGCAGGAGGGAAGCCACCGACTGAGGTCCGATCCCGATGGGCTAAATATTCGAGAGCCGGTAAATGGGAAGTGACCCTGCCATCCCTGAGCTGTAACAGGAGGGACCAACTGGGTTTGGCGAGGGGCAGGCGCGGGCACGTAGCGTCGTGTATTGTCGTGTCCACCAGCAACGAGAGGGAAGGCGTACGTGGGAGAGGACACACACATACACAATAAGGCACACACGTATAGGTTCCAGGGATTACAAACACTAGTGCGGCGGAGCAAGATATATTTTTTTCCTTAGAAAACCAAGCCAAATTGATGTACCATTAGGATCCACCGTACTAAGGTTTGTGATCCCTGGGACCTGTACAAGCACTGGAGGCTTGTGCTCCACACGCGTGCTATGTTTTTTCTTGGAAACTTTCTTCGTTTCCTGCCTCCTTTCTCGCCGCTTCCTTCTTCTTTCTGTCGCACACGCACATTCTCAGGGGCGCTAGAATAGCTGAAACAGGCGGGGGCGATGGAGAAGTTGGGGGCGACTAGGCTGGCGGGGACGAGGTGGAAACGCGGGGTGTGTGTGGGCACCAAACGGGGCATTTTTGAATTTAATAAAAACTGGATTGGAAATGACGGCACGTCGACCATGACGGCACCACGCGAAGCTAGCAGGACGGCAATACAACATTCCAGCGGACGAGAGGGCTCCCAAAGCAGAAAATTTCCCCGACGTCCGAGTAATGATGCGCAGACCGTATCGCCTGGCCGGCGCCCGTGCCGGAGATCTCATTGGCTGGCCAGGGCGGCCTCGGTCGTCCGTTTCGTCCGTCGGGCCGGTGGTGGTGGAGCAGAATCGAAGGACGGGTGGCAAGCTGGGGAGCCACACACGGTGAGAGGCTGGACATGACCCCCACGACTGGATCCTGTTTGCCTCGGCCACCGCCTGAATTTTTCAATGTTTTCTGGTGGGGCCACCGGGTTTAGGCTGGCTGTGTATTAGTGCTGGGGAATCTGCACCCCTGCTCCCTCCAGCACCTGGAGGTGTAACGTGATACGGGAAACGAATGTGCGTACCAGACCGGACTTCATGCCTGTCAATGACACGGCTGCTGCGGTCAACAGCGAGAGACGCCGGGGGAAAATAATGTCGTATTTGCCAGTACTCGGGCTCGGCGCAGGCCATCTTGCATCTGGGAAGGCCCCCCATACCCAACAAGACAATCTCGCTGGCGCACAGCACCCCCACCACGGCGAGTGCCCGTGCTGTGTGGTACATGCCAGGTAGCACGGCAGTATGGCCAGGCCAGCTGGTTGGCTGGCCCCAACATGTAACCAGCCCACACCATCCCTCTCCCGTCGGGTGTTCCCCTCTTTTGACCGGCCAATCCCCCTCGTCTCGTGCCCTGCCCTCTCCACACCGGGCAGACGACCAACCGCTAGATCCATCCGATCGTAGTTGGATCGGTGCGCGGGCACGAGTGAGGGGTGCCTCTCCCGAGCCCTGTCTCGCAGCCGCCCGTCTCGGTACTTGAGCCCGAGAACGGAGACGCCCTGGCTGTGAACACCAAAACCCCTCACTTAGTCCATGTACTCCCTCGTACACACAAAATTGCTATGTACAGCCGCTATCTTGTTTGCCAACATGGCTGGCTGTCAAAGCTGGCCGTGTGTCTGTATCTACGCGTCGTTTGACAGTGTGTGAGAGTTGTGCGTTGGTCGATATCTGAGCGCCTATTACTCACACAACAACACGCGCCGTCAGCAATGCGCCAGCAAAGCGCAGCTTTTGCATCAGGTGCCCTCTCCATGGTGGGGTCCGCCTTCTATTATGAATCTGGGAGGCCGAAGCGAGGGCGGGGAACTGAGGACCGGTGTGAAGGCGCGTCGTAAACTCGGAGCAGGTGATTCATAAAGGATTGTACTATGCGTCTATGCAGACGCGGGGTTACTTTCCAGGCCCTCCGGTTGCGTTCTAAAACGCACCAGAGAGCAGCGATGCAGAGTACCGAGGTAGATACAGTACCAGAGCCGTGGGTCTCCAGGCCTCGTATGCATACTTCCAATATCGCCCGTCCGTCGCCCACTCCCCGCCGCCGGGTGCTCGCCGCAAGGGGCAACTTACGTAACGGGGCAGTAACGCCGCAGCGACGGCGCAGAGAGCCAAGAGTCGCATTGCCTGCGCCCAAAGGTCCATGGCGACGTCGGCATGTTCTAGACCCTCGCCGCCATGCCCCCTGGACTCCACATCGAACCGCTCGATCTGGGTATGTAGCCGGCTGTCCAGACGCTAACCAACAGCGACGGAATCGCCGTGAGGCCGGGGTCATGTCATCATGCCTCCCACAAAGCGTAAGGCTTGCGGTAGTTGAGGGCTAGAGATAGGGCGTTGCTTAGCTCACCGGATATGTAGTTCTTGAATGTTGAACCAGCTCGTCTATTTTGTCTAGAATGTGTGGCATTGTTTATCCGGCGTGAGATTGTGTCGCCGTTATAGGCAGTCCCGACTGGTTTGCTATCCCACTACCTTGGTGCGTCTTTTTCGCCGGATGCCGTAGATGGATCTTCAGCGGGAACTTGCTCGCTTGGCACTCCAGCGACTACAGAGTTCACAGAGTGTGCGAACCCGCAGCAGCAAGGAGTCAGATAATGACGGGGCGGAGGGGTCCACAACCCAATCGCAGAACCCATATCGCACCTCTTCATCGCATGGAGGACGGGGGAGGCGAAAGTTGGCGCCAGCAGCATCTGCCCCCGCCGACGACGACGACGGCCAAGACGCGTCGGACGCAGAGAGCGACTCCAGCATGTGTCTGGAGCGGCCCCCGCCGGGCCGCGACGAGAGCCCCGACGGCTACGAGATGCGGTCGCGGTACTGGGAGGCCATGGACGTGCTCAACCGCTCCATGGCGGCGAGCGACCCGGCCCTGTACGTGTGCGACTCGGTCTGCCTCCCGCCGCCGGGGCTCGCCCGCACAGGCGCTCTCGCAGCCCTGGGCGCCCTGCCCATCCGCCGCGCGTGGCGGCGCCGGCGCCGGCC